CCCTAAGCCCTAGACCCCAAACCCCAAACCCTAAACCCTAAGCCCTAAACCCTCAACCCTAAGCCCCGAGCCTTACTACGATCGCGACTCCCAGGCCTGGGGCCCAGCACTGAGAAAGCCCTGTGCCGGCGGAGGCGCGGAGGGCGCCGGAGGCTCCTTGCGAGGAATTCGGTCACATAGGGTTTCAGGGTTTAGGGGGTTCCTTAAAGGGTTCCTCAAAGGGATCTATAGGGTTCCTTAAAGGGGTTTAGGGCTTGAGGGCTTTAGGGGTTAGGGTTTTTTAAGGGTTTTTACGGGTTTTATACGGTTTTATAAGGGTTTATAGGTTTTAGAGGGGTTTTATAGGGTTTAGGGTTTAGGGGATTTTAGGGGGTTTTAGGGGCTTTAGGGGTTTAGGGGTTTAGGGGTTTAGGGGTTTGGGGGTTTGGGGGTTTGGGGGTTTAGGGGTTTAGGGGTTTAGGGGTTTAGGGGTTTAGAGGCTTAGGGTTCAAGGTTTAGGGGTTTAGGGGTTTAGGGGCTTAGGGTTTAGGGTTTGTGGGGGGGAGTATGGGGTGTCACATCGGGGCATCAACACTGAGAAAAGGATTTTGGGCTATGGTGTAGGACAGGTATATTGGGGACCTGTCAGGGGGATACTAGTGCGAATGATTCAGACCTCTACAGTAGGGTTTTCGGGCTTGGAGAAGGGGCGTGTTAGGCTTTGGGGTTTAGCTTGGGGGTGTTGGGAGTAAAGGTTGAGGGTTTGAGCTGGGCTTTAGGTTTGGGGGTCTTGATTGTAGGATTGTCCAGAGCGCCTAAACCCGAAGCCCTAAACCCTAAAAATGTTCAGCTTCCAGGGTTCAGGGCTTAGGTCGTAGGATTGAGATCTGCGGCTTCAGGTCTGTCCATGATTTACGGGTATGGCTTGAGGCTTTAGTTTTTGCCTAGGTCTTATGTCTTTCATGTCTAGCTGAAGTTTACGGTTCTAGGGCTTGAAGTTCAGTATAAAGTGGTCTCTTGGGGTTGGGCTCAGGGTCTGGGGCTTACGGCGAGCTTGGGCTCAGGACTTATGTAGGGGCTTGCATTGATTTCGGTTGTTAGTCGCAGGACCTATTCGGGATTGAGGGTTTGGGGCTTAGGACCGAGCCTTCTTTGCTCTTGGAAAGCTCTCTGCTGCATTTAAGATTTTGACGACTGCCTTTGTCAGGGTTACTCTTTCGCGCGTGTGCGGGCATACTGCTGATGTGGGCTTTCTGATGTTCATCACGATCACCAGCATCAGCGGCTGCAGCAGCCGCAGCGGCAGAAAAAGAAGCAGAAGCATCCCTAAACCCTAAAACCCTAAACCCCTAAACCCTAAACCCTAAACCCCTAAAACCCTAAACCCCTAAACCCCTAAACCCCTAAACCCCTAAAGCCCTAAAGCCCGAAAGCCCTATCATTTCCACAATCAGCGCTTTTATCATGTTCTTCCTCCTGCTCAACAGTCGTCTTCACTACTCTGCCTCTGGACGCCTTTGCATCGACCTCAGGCATGTACCCACTATACATTGCATAATAGATATCATATGTTTTATGATGTGTATATATATATATATGTGTGTGTGTGTGTATATATATATATATGTATATATATATATACATATATATCTGTATCTATATCTATATCTATATCTATATCTATATCTATATCTATATCTATATCTATATCTATATCTATCTATCTACCTACCTATCTATCTATATCTCTTATAAATAAATAAGTAAATAAACCAATATATATATATATAGTGATTTAGAATGTGTATATAATATATATATATAGAGAGAGAGAGAGAGAGAGAGAGAGCATAGTCTATTTTATCTGGCGGGGTTCGTTACAGATGACTCTGGGACCTTATTTGTAGGGCGCGGCCCGAAAAACACTCAGCCAAACATCAGGTTGCTACTCCACGGTTTAGGGTTTAGGGGTTTAGGCTTTATTAAGGGTTTAGGCTTTAGGCTTTATTAAGGGTTTAGAGTTTAGGGCCTAGGCTTTATTTACGGTTTAGGGTTTAGGGTTTAGGCTTTATTTAGGGTTTAGGGTTTAGGGCCTAGGCTTTATTTAGGGCTTAAGATTCAGGGGTTCATTTCAGTTTGGGGTTTAGGGTTTGGGGCTTTGGATTTCTTTCGGGGTTAGGGTTTAGGGTTTGGGGCTTAGGGCTTAGGGTTTGTTTGGGGTTTAGGGTTAGTTAGGGTTTTAGGGTTTAGGAACTGTAGGGTTTAGGGTAGGGTTGAATAACCACGCATCCTTTGTTTCTGCTTTCGGCTCTGGAAACTTGAGGTGCCACGCTGTACAGACTTCCGAGACATCCCCCGCTCGAAACGCGGCAGACACATGCATAGCTAGTCGAATGCAATTTGCACATCACTGTCAGAGCTATCATCGCAGTAGATCGTCGCCTTAACGGGCGCCCGAAGCCCCGGGCTCCTCACGACGCGCGCCGGCGCAGGTGCCTTGGGCGGCGCGGGCGCCGGAGGCGCCCGGGGCCTCTGTGGGCTCGGCGGTACTTCCGTGACCTCGGCCTCTTCGGCTTCGCTTTGAGGGATTTTGGGAGGCTCTGTGAGAAGGAAGTTTACCGCAGCCTCCAGGGTTCCAACCTCGGCCAGAGCTCGCAGAGCGTCCTCCTCTTCGAAGCCCATGGAGAGGAGCTTGCTTACTGCGGCGGCGGTGGCGCTGTGGGCCAAAGGCCTTGCAGTCGTCCTGACTGCTTCGGCTCGGACGCTGTCCTCGTTCATAAGAGCTCTTGCAGGAGCACTGGAAGGAGCACTGACGGGATGACTCGCCGGAGCCGTGGTGACGGCACTTCGCGCTGGCGCCTGAGACTCCTTCAGCGCCTCGCTCCGCTGCTCTTTCAACTTCGAGAGGTTTCGAAGGAAGGCCTGCAGCTTGTTCATCCGCATGTTGCTGCTACCATTCTGCGCTAAGATCCAGCTGCAGTACTCCGGCTCCTCCTCTGCCAACTCCTGGAAGCTCAAGGCTTTGTACCTTCCGAAGCCTCGGGTCAAGGTCTCTCTTCGAAGCAAAGCAGAGCATCTCACAAAAACCAGGAAACCAGAACCCAAAAGCACTTACTTGTGGAGCTCTGACAGCATACTGGCCGAAGCTTGGAGCTCTCTCTCCCAATGAAGTTTTTGGAGAGGGGAAAGGGAATCACAAGAGGGCATCCATTCAGGCTTCACGGTTTCGGGCTTAAGGCATCACGACTGATCTTCTTATCATTGCTATCCACAACATGTTCGCTCTGAACCCTGAACCCTGCCCAGAAAACTGTACATGTTGATGTCTGCAGATACATGTCTGTGTAGATATGTATACGTGCGTGTATATGCATTGAGTTATTTAGTGTATGGTAGATGTATATGTATATGTATACAACCCCTAGAACAAAGAGTAAAGGTCTAAGCCCTAAGCCCTAAACCCTAATCCCTAAACCCTAATCCCTAAACCCTAAACCCCTAAACCCCCTAAACCCTAAACCCTAAACCCTAAACCCAAACCCCCTAAACCCCCGAAACCCTAAACCCCTAAACCCTAAACCCCTAAAATACGAAAAACCCTAAAAACCCTAAACCCTAAACCCCTAAAATCCTAAAAACCCTAAACCCAGTTCGAGCCCTGGGGCCCACGTTCATCGTCGCCAGCTCTCGGTGGACGGCCTCGCGGTCTGGCGCGGGCCGGCTGCGCCCATCGCTGCCCAAGAGGAAGACCTGTGAAAAAGGTTTAGGGTTTAGGGCTCAGGGTTTTGGGTCTTGGGTTTAGGGTTTTGGGTTTAGGGCTTAGAGTTTAGGTTTTGGGGTTTAGGGTTTTGGGGGTTAGGGTTTAGGGTTTAGGGGTTTGGGGTGTAGGGTGACCTATGGAAAATTCCGAGGTGTGCGTAGCAATAGTACGAATGGCAGCAAAAGTGGAAATAAAAGAGACAGAAAAAATAGTAGTAATAATAGAAATTTAACAATTCTGTAAAGAAGAATAATGGTCATGGAAGTAATAGAAGCTATGGAAGCAATAAAAGTAATAGAAGAAATGGAACAGTGGTCATCGTGGTCACAGTAGTTTTGCTCCCTTGAAAGATGCGTACCAGAAGCAACAGTTCAAGGTTCTTGCAAAACAATCTTTTGGGTTCGCTTCAAAATAAGGAGGGGGGATAACAGAAACAAGGGGTTTAAACCCTAAACTCTAAACCCTACAATTATGAAGGCTGGGCCCTAAACCCTAAACCCTAAAACCTAAACCCTAAACGGGGTGTGTTTCTGAGACAAGCGGATCTGGCCTGACCGCTGCCCGTCGGCTCCGGCTGTTTCCGTTTCAGAGCGATCATGGGCAGCTAGAAAACTGGAGATAAGCTAGTTTAGGGTTTAATTGTGGTCTTGGGTGTTGTGGTTTAGGGTTTAATTGTGGTTTTGGGTTTTGTAGTTTAGGGTCTAATTGTGGTTTGGGGTTTTTGAGTTGTCATCGTGCTCTGGTCCGTGATTGCCATGTAACATGCCTACTCAGTGTCGGAGACTCGGGTGCAAACCCAAAACGCGAAGCGGCTGCGACCTTGGGCCAAACTGCAGCATGCAGAGCTGGTAAAGTGCATGCGGGCGTCGCAGCCACTTCCACCCTTCACGGTTCACGGTCTTCTCATCCCACACTTCTTGATACCCACCTAGCCTACCTGAACCCTAACCTAAAGTGTCGACTCACTGTGGGCTCCTCAGTCGCCGGTTTGGCGTTCTGGGCTGCCCACGCCTTCTTTCTGGCAGCAGCCTCCCAAGAAAAATATACTGAATCTCTTCGCTGACACCACCTACAGCTTCAGTACGGCTTCAGATTCTGGTGTCTCGGAAGGAAGCATACTGGGCCTGCTCATCCTCTGCTTGGACCCGCGCGACGCACATCTCCCGAATCTTCGCGATCTGCGCCGACCTCTCTGCCAAGCATCGGGCGACCCCTCAAACCCTACTGTCCTTTGTGGTCTGGTGTTCTGATTGAATCTTGCCGTTCCCCAGAAAACCCCTGCCCCCAGGATTCGCGGCCTGAAGTTCTTGAACAGTGGGCCATAGGCAGCATCAAGCATCTGCTTGGGGGTGATCTCCACGAAGTTCAGCTCTTCACTGGGGGCCCGCTGCATCTCTCCAAAGGGCTGGCGAAGAAAGGAGTAGGCCTCTCCAGAAGGCAAAAACCCGAAGACTTCAGGCTTCCAATGGCTTCCATGCTTTTTTGAGTTTATATTATAATATATTTCACTATATTATATTATGTTATATTAAACTATATGTTATTCTATTCTGTGAAGATCATGTCCACTTGTGGCCTGACGAACAGGGACGAGACATTAGTCATCGTCACTTTCATCCTGTGGTCGCATCAGTATGCTTAATCCTCTTCCTGCTCGCAGGATTCAAGCCAGATGTTGATAATGATCATGATGGTGATGATTAAGAGGAGGATGTCGTGGAAGGGGATGAGCATCAGTAAGACGAGCAGAAGGATGTTGTGGTGGTGACGGAAACGACGATGAAAAAGACGACTGAGACGTGGGTACGACGACCAGACGGCCACGGCAGCGACGACGAAAACGCCACCAACGGCGACGACCGTGCAGGCGGCAACGACGACGACGAACGCGACAATAATGAAGGTCAGCGACGGCGACCGCGACGACAGCGACAGCGTGGATTGGAGCAGCGGCGGTGGGGAAGACAACGACGATGGAAGCACCACAACGACCACGACGAAAACGACCATGGCAACGGCGACGTTGCTGACCGCACAAGCCACGGTTTCCTCACCGTCGGCCACGGTGTTGGCATTCGTAGCAGCGGCGGCGACGATGGCGTGAAGGCGATGGCGACGACTCGGCGACGACTCGGATTAGGTACTTAGTCACTCGGCCTAAAGTTGGACGGTTCACGAGACCACCTGTCCCCCACCACCCAGCAGGCCCAGGATGTGAGCCCGAGCCTCGACCACGTTGGTGGTGCTGAGCAGTTCCTTCTGCCGAAGGGCCAGGATCGAAAGTCCTTCAGACATGCGAGCAGTTCAGACTCGGCCTCCAATCTTCGCATCTCCTCCAGAACGATAAGCACTACAACTTCCAACCTTACACACACAGGGCTTGTCAAAATAATATATAATATATAATATACAGTATAGAATGTATAATATATAATAAGCTGTCACAGGCCCTCACAGGCACAGAAGACTGCGGAGGTCCTATGCGGAAGAGCGCCTTGTGACCCTCGTGCAGCGTGCAGTCCAGAGCTCGATGCGCATGCTCGGGGGGCAGCGTGTTAACCTTCACAATGGTGAAGGGTGAAGCACCACCGTGAGAACGATAAGTGCCATGTGCTACCGCCCAGCAGCAGCAGTTCGTTGCCATTCAGGTTTCATTGACCACTACATCGCTGACACTACTACATTGCTGGCATTCCGATTCTTACGGTTTCTACAGAACATGAAAATGCTCATAGTCATAATCGAAGTAGTGGTGCTGGTAGCACTAGCTGAGTACGGGCAGTTATTTGCAACAGCGAATACCAAAACTGATGGCGCTGCGAGTCAAATTGAACAAGCATTTCTGGGCACTCTCGTGAGTGGTATCACTGGCGTGGCGCTTGCACCGCTGGTGCTTGTACGATGGTGCCCCCCGCACCAGCAATGCTCGTGCTATGACAATGACAAGCAGCAGTGCTAGCTGTCCTGTAACCATGTCACTACTGATACTACTGCTAGATCTGCCGACTAATCACGAAGCATTGCTGAAAATCCGAAGATAAATACCATCACCATTACTAAATTTACTAAATTACTACCATCGCCAGTGCGTCTGCAATCACTGTTGTTACTGTATGAAATTAAATTTGGTTATACTATTGGTGCTTTGTGCCGCTGGCTGCACAGCATCCAAGACGACTCATGAGACACGTGCGGCGAGCATTGCTCACAGTTTTGGCTCATAGTTTTGGCCTCAAATATGCTGCTGCTGGAACTCGCATGCTGCCACTATGACTACCCCTGCGCATATGTGGCTTTTTGCTCCTACTACGTCTCTTACTCTGAGTTATCCCATGTGGCCTTCTTCTTCTGCTTGCTATGAATGCGTATCATTGCAGTTACCTACAGTCACTACTCCTTGTTGTTCTACCCTGTCTTCGCGACCTCAAGACATGTAGGTCCACAGACGCTAAGGATGCCACGAAAAGGCATAGGAACCAGTTCATGAAAATCGGGGCCGCGTCGATGGCGTTCCTGCGCAGGGCTTACGCAGCCTGGGTCCGGTCGCTGAACTTCGGGTTTTGAGGATTTGGGGTTCAGGAATCAGGGTTAAGGTTTATGTATAGTCAGGGTTAAGGCTAAGGTTTTCTATATAGGCTATTTAGGGTTTAGGGTTTAGTATATATAGACTACTAGCAGCCCTGGTGCTCCTATTATTGTAATGCCGGTCACATTGCATGACGAAAGCAACGACAGCCATGAACAAGGATGGTAATACTGCTGCCGGCTGCTCCTGCAAAAGTGCTGGTAGAGCTGCGGCAAGTATTGCTCGATACACCAGTTGAAAACGTGTAGATCCTGAGCTCCGTGACTCAATGACGATGGACTTCGTGAAACAGCTCTTCCATCCTGCACCCCAGCAACTCAGATCCGTGCAGAGCGCAACCCGCGAAGGTCTTCGGTATAGTATCCGACCGGCATGATCTCTTCAATCACGCTGCACAGCATCCAAAATGCATGCTCTTCGCAGCAGTACCTAGGACCACTCTCACACTACACAGCTGCCGTTCAGAAGTTGGACCTACAGAAACTGCGAATATCGTGATCTCGATTCTGCCAGCAGTGCAGCCATGATACAGCAGAAAGGTAGCAACGATAAAGTTCATAGACTGGCAATACCCGATGACTGGATTCCGCACCTCAACTCATGACATGGATGCAAGTGCCTTCCCCTTACCAGCTGTCTTACTAACCCGTCCTGCCTGCTACATGAACTCCTCCAAGCGATGTTAAGGGCATCGATACAAGCATCAACAAAAAAAGCTGAGCCCTTTTGATCTGGCAGGCAACTGCATATGCTAGGAGCACATTCTCCAAGGGCGAGATCAGATTCTCCTCGCACCCTGTTCGCGGAAGGTCGTTGGCAATCGTTCGCGCAGCCACCGTGTTCTTTGCACAGTGGCCCTCCCGCACCTCGGTGCACAGCAAAAGCGACAACCTTGCCCAGCAGAATCAGAATCACGTCACGGAAGGCGCAGCCAAACAACAACAAGAAACTTACACGTAAATGTTGCGGCTCTGAGCAGAAGTAGCAGTAGTGGCAGCAGTCGCTAGTAGGATGAGTAGCAGTCGTCGCCACCGCCATCATAATAGTAGCAGGTGAAGGAGCAGCAGTAGCAGTAGCAGAGGCAGTGGCAGTGGCAGTGGCAGTGCCAGTGCCAGTGGCAGTGGCAGTACCAGTAGCAGTAGCAGTATCAGTATCAGCAGGAGCAGTAGAAGCAGTCGTCGTCGTGGTAGTCGCAGTAGCAGTAGCAGTACTAGTAGTCGTCGTGGTGGCGGTCGTAGTAGTGAGTAGTGGTGGGAGGAGGAGGAGGAGGAGGAGGTGAGCTTTCGTGCTTGCGAAGCCGCTAGGTCCTCGTAAGATTTTGAACTCTGCCGCCTCTTGCTCAGACCACCGCTGCACAAAAACCTGACAGGCTGCACTGCCGAATCGAGATTCAACAGAAGACTGGTGTATGCAACAGCAAGATCACCCGGCTCCCGCCAAGCCAAGCTTTTCAACGCAGCCCATTGTATTGTTGAACGATGTTATCAGCTTCAGTATTTCGAGGGTCTCACCACATCCAGTCAGAGGAGCCAGACTGTGCCACGCAAAGTGGACGGAATGCCGCTGCGAATGGCCGTTGTCAGACCTTACTTCGCTGAGGCAGCCCTTACTCAGCTTGCATGCCTTTCCTTCCATAAACAAGTCCAGCAAAGGCTGAAACGGTCCCGCGTCGTTTGCCTGCATGGAGGGACAGGCAAAGCAGCACAAAGCGCAAGCACAGGCTGCACATGTCACGACTCACTGGCCTGACCAAGTCCTCTCCCGCTGCACTTCTAGAAAGCTGCCACGAACCCGGGTCCTGCCTCGAGAAGAACATGGTCTTCAGGCGGTACTTGATCCCGTGGTGCTCTCCATCAGCAGTCCGACGCCAGCGCTCGAAGGCCTCCAGGACATCATCCTGCACCTTGTCCTGAGTCGTTCCAGCGGAACAGGGTCCTGATGACAATCAGGACCATAGGAACGATGCTCATATTGCTCGTGTCAGTATGACATAGGTAAGCACAGGTTAAAACGATGCTCATGGTGCTCTTGTCCGTATGACATGGGTAAGAACAGGATAAGCGGTACTCCGAAACGTTTGAGGGCGACGTTGGGTGGGTGATGGGCTTCTGGTGCTGGTATTTGCTTGTAGCCTTTTTCTTCCGCTCACTAGTCGATGCTGCTGTTGCTACAAACTCTTTCTGCCTGTAGAGTTGATAGCCTCCAAGACATGTAAAGCTGGAATGCCGAAGGCACAAGCCATTCCCTCTGCAAGCCAGGTCTGTGACTATTTCCAGGGTCGGGTGCTTTAGGGACTTGCAACTTGGGGTGTAGTTATCAAGGGACTAAAGGAGAGACCCTTAAAGGGACCCTTGGGACTATATAGGGCTTTATGAGCCTATATAAGGGTTATAAAGGGTAGATTTTTAGGGCTCCGGTCGTCGGTGCAAGGCGGGGCCAAGTTCTGCAGCTCAGGAGCCAAGGAAGCGCTGCTGTCGATGCCCAGGCCTGACACGGAGCTCCCGTCACGCAGAAGTGCACCCGAAACTCTGGACCAGATGGGCTCTAGGGTTTGGGTTGTTTAGGGCTTAGGATTTATAGGGTTTAGGGTTGAGGGTTGAGGGTTTAGGGTTTAGGGCTTAGGGCTTCGGGCTTTAGGGGTTTAGGGGTTTAGGGTTTAGGGTCTACCTGCACGTCAGACAAAGTCGCGACTTGAGCCTGAACGTTTGGGCCAAAGAAGCACGCGACTGACTTTCTCAAGCCCTCCCGGCTCCTCCCCAATTCCCCAAATCCAAAATCCTAAATCCCGGTTGAACCCAAAGCCACAACCTACGATCGAGCTCGCAAACCCTCAACCTCCAAAACCCCGAGGCCTGAACCCTCAAACGTTCATCCCGATGCCAAAGCCCTCGGCCTAAATGCCTGGGTCTTTGTCGCGCTTGCCCCCCGAGTTCCAACCTCTAAACAATATGCATCCCACAACCTGATGCACTATGAATGCAGTGCTGGTGATGAGGACTTCTACGGAATAGCGTTTAGATTTGGGGACTTAGGTCTCAAATCGTGGTACGGCCACAATAGTGATCATGAGGAGGAGGAGGAGGACGAGGAGGCCAACATGATCGTCATGCGTGCGTTTGTCGGTTGTCGTTTACCCTTCGTGAAGTTCTTGCTGCCGGTAGCACAAATTGGCATTAGGACCATTAGGATGCTCAAGCATGACCGGTGGAATTACGACAGGCACTGGCCTCTGTGTTGGTTACTGACTATGCCTGAAGATGTGGTCCCGACTTGATCGATCACACAAACGCACCAAATTTCAACCGCGCCACGTAAGCACGTGGCGAACCTCTGACCGAGAAGTCCTGAAGCCCTCCCAGAAACCCTAGACAAAGCGATCCTGACACAAACCCCCAAACCCTTAAACCCTAAACCCCTAAACCCTAAACCCTAAACCCTTAAACCCCTAGACCCCTAAACCCTGAACCCCTAAACCCTAAACCCCTAAACCCGAAAACCCTAAGCCGCGAAGCCCCTAAACATCCTAAACCCCTAAACCCCTAAACCCTAAACCCTAATGCTGAGAACCCCCCAGCCGCAGCCTCGCTTTAGCTCGGCCCAGGCCCTGTCCGCCACATCACCCATGGCGGCCGCACGCCATGGGCTCTAGGGTTCAAGTTACTATCGAGTGCACTTTAAAGGCTTCTAGGGTTTACGGGCTTAGGGTTCAGGGTTTACGGGTTTGGGGTTCTGGATAGGGGGTACAAAAGACGGGAGACTCTCCGGGTTCATATACGGAGTCGTTCTGTCGGGTTCCCTTTGGATCCTGAACTTCACAAACCCTAAAGCCCTAAAGCCCTAAACCCCTAAACTTCCAAACCCTAAACTGTAATAAGCCCTTGTAGTGCTTCAGGGCTTTGGGGCCTTAAGGTGAGGGGTTCAGGGAGGCGTGGGGGGCAGTGTTGTGCTTTCAAGCTGCGTGCCGGAACATGCCGCCGTGTTCTGCGGAGCGTCTCCTTAGGGTATGGGAGTTTCAGATATGCGGGAGCCCTTCTTCGAGTATGGGGGGCTAAATCAGGGAGCCAAACACAGATCTCAAAAAGACAGATCTGTGACATAAGGACCCCGAAGTTTTCTAGGTCTCCTTGGTCGAACCCCCCCCGCCCCCCATCGCGAATGAAGTTACGAGGCTCAGGATCTTCAGGGGCGACGAAGACTTCATGGTGCCCTGGGGCTCAGGGTTTTCAGGTTTAGGATTCAAGATTGACAGGTTGAGGTGTAGGGTCTAGGATGTAGGGTTATGGCTTCGAGATGCTTCGAGTTCCGGTTGCCGGGGGTTAGGAGGTGGAGTTCAGGGTGGAGGATGTGCCTCCAGGCTTGAAATCTGTTGTTCAATGCTCTGTCTGCTTTCTCTCCGCAGAAGAAAGGCTTTCAGGGGGATCCAGTTTGGGGTGCGGGGTGCGGGTCGGGGAGACTCCAAGACCTTTTAGTTAAACAAGATACCTTGCTACTCTAAGCCAGTTCCAGGACCCCTGCTAAAACTCAGAAGTGGAGGTATGTATACTCCTCAATTGTCTGGTTCCCTATTGGGGCCATATTAAAAATCATCATCTTTCATATTAGGCCTTTAGTCGAACAAAAAATGTAAAATCGCATTCCACAAGGACCCAGTTATGGGGTTTTGGAGTCTCTGGACCCGGCTTGGACCCGTGGACCTCCTCGGCCAGGATGTCCGCCAAGTCCCGGAACTGAGGCCAGGGGCAACGTATGCAAAGCCACCGGTCTTTCAGCAGACAGCCCTGGAGTGCCGAGTTTGGGGCCGAGGCTCTACCGTTTAGGCTTGTAAGTCTGTTCAAGCCCCAGTTCACGATATCCTGTAGCAGGAGGCACACACAGGCATCTTGCGGCCTGGTTGTTGCAGGGCATGCTGTTGCTGTACCTTGACAGCCGTGGCACACAATCCAGCAGCGACTCCTAAAAACTCCAAGCTGGATCTTTGTAATCGGGACACACCGATTGCCACGGATGCTCCCCACTCTCGACTGCGCGCACGGGGCTGCGATGGTGATCACAGGCTTGACGAAGTCATCGTCCTGAAAGCGGGCAGCAACTTCCAGCCGTCGGGCTCGGCTCTTAGCTGAAGGGCCCTGCTATTCTGTATTATATATTATATACTAAAAATTGTATAGCTGAAGGCAGCTGCAAGATGAAATGCCGAAGACCCAAAGACGAGACAAAGCCTCTGACAACTTGATGTGGTCCCCGACCTTCATCTTGAACCACACACCGCCAGGCTGTATATATAACATAATATATTATATAACATAATACTATAGTGTAATATATAATATATAATATAATAAAAAAATATAATAATGTAGTACCTGGAAAACTTCCCTGGCTCGGAACCTCGAGCCCAAGTTCAGGCATATTCCTTAAAGGATTTGGGATTTTGGGGGGTTTAGGGGTTGGCAGGTCTCAGTCTCCGTTTTAACGGGGGCGTACGTTGCGGAACATGCCGTCTTCGCTCGACGTCATTTTTTCATCACTTCAGGACCTTGTAGGGCTACGCTACAACGACCCTTAAAGAATGGAAGAGGAGTTCAATAATGGCTTATGGTTTTGTATACATAGGGTTTTGTATCATGGCTGCTGCGGCAAGGGTTCTTATGAAGGTGTCTAGTATAGCTGACTCATGTTCAGACCGTTCAGGCGTAGAGGCCTCTATAAATAAATTATGTACCATATATATATATATGTATGTATGTATGTATGTATGTATGTATGTATGTATGTATATATATATATATGTTAAGCCCTATACAAGACATAACACGCCAGAACTACGTCCCAAGCCGTGCACCGATGAGGCTTTAAGAGATCAAAACAGGCCCTATAAGCCCCAACTCAGAGCCCAGCAACCCTGAGCCCACTAAAGGTACCCAAGAAGCCCCTAAGCCCCGAACCCCAAACCTATTCACCCCTTCTGTGAGCCTTCCACCCAGCAGCGCGAAAGTTCGCCCGCGAGCAGGTCATCTTCACAAAGGAGTTTGGGGCACCTGGGGTTTAAGGTTTAGGGTTTAGGATGGTCGAGGATCTGGGGTGTACTCTTCAGGGTTGAGGGGGTTTTGGGGCTGGAGTTTGAGGGTGTTTGGGTTTGGGAGGTGGAGGCTTTGGGCTGTCGGCTTCAGGGCGTAGCCATATTCCAAATGTATGCCCAAGATCTAAAGAATCCTTATAAAACTAAACCCTACACTGGGGAGAAAGATTGCCTGAAACCGCTCCTGGGGTGGGGCGAGTGCCAGTAACAATCGAGCCGAAGTTAACCGAGGCCCGCGCTGACCGATCACTGCTTTTAGGGTTTTGGGGCGTTGAGTTGAAGGTCTGCGGCCCGGTCAAAGGGTTTGGGGGTTTGGGGTTTCGGGTTGGAGATGCCCCGCTCTCACCACAAATCCGCAACTCCAGAGTTTAGGGTTTAGGGTTTTTTCTTAATGCCCCCAAAACCCCTGCACCCAGCATCTACCACCTCACTTCCGGCAAGGACCCCGAACCCCCACAAGCTGAGACCATGGGCCATCCGGCTTCTTCGGATCCCCAGTGATCTTGAAGCTCTCCTTCTTTAACCTGGGACTCAGTGTAGAAGGCGAGGAGGGGAGCGGCTGGATCATCATGGAACTCATGAACAAATCATCATCTTCATCAGCGGCATCATCATCATCATCGTCATCATCATCTTCATCAGCGGCATCATCATCACCATCATCATCATCACCATCACTCACCAGGGTGACCTATGAAGTTAGTTGACAACACACTTGAGGGTCATGGGGCTTGCCTCATACTCACCCATCGCAATCAATTTCGCACAGGAACTCAAGTCGCCCCCAACCGATTTCTACATCCGACAGACGCAGTTCATGAGACGCCGAC